TCAGGCGGGACCAACCGTTTGATTGGTTAAAGGCCGGGGAGGCGGGGCGCTGCGCGGCGGCTGCGCGGGGGGACACGGCGGGGAGGGACGGACCAGGAATTATTTTTATTTCTTTGTTTCCCGGGGAAAAAAAAAAGAAAAAAAAAGGGGAAAAAAAAGAAAAATAAACAAAAAAAAAAAGGCCCCGCGCTCGGGAACCCCCCGCGGGGGCGGATGGTGCTGCCGTGAGCGGGGCGGGCCGGGCCGGGCCGGGCCGGCGGGATGAAGCGGCGGAGCGCGGACTGCAGCAAACTGCGGCGGCCGCTCAAGCGGAACCGCATCACCGAGGGCATCTACGGCAGGTACCGAGCGGCCGCCGCGGCGCCGGGAGCGGGCGGTTCGTGGCCCCGGGTCCCCCCCGGCCCTGTCACCGTCATGGCGCCCCGGCTCCCCTCAGGCGCTGCCCCGCCCCGGGCTCTCCGCGTCCCCTCAGGGCCCCTCAGCGCCGGTGGGCTCCGCTGACCGAGGAGCTGCCGGCACCGCCGGGAGAGAGCGGCCAGGAGCCRCCTTGGGGTGCGCACCAGCGCTGGGGCCTTCCCTCTGTGTCACCCCGGAGGTGCAGAGCTCCGAGCCTCGCCCGTGGCTCCCCGGGGAGCTTTTCCCAGCGGGGTCTCACGGCTGAACCTTCCCGGAGGTGCTGTCAGAGCTGCGGGTTCCCGTTTCAGCCTCACCTGTGTCTGCACGGGGAGGTTTTTCAGGCATTCCCAAAGGCTCAGGCTCGCAYTCAGCAGCGGTTCCGCAGCACAACACCTGGGCTGCTGGCCCAGCTCATGCTCAGCGCTTCACAAAGTTCTTTTTTTCCCGTACCTGTGCCGGGGGGGAACCGAGAGAGCCAAGGGATGGGAGCAGGAGGATTTTTTGGGAATTGCTGGAGCAGGGATGGATGGCCCGACTCATCTGTGACCTCGGGAATGAGGAAACAAACAGTGCTGAAGTGAGCTCCACGTGGGATGTGCCTCATCCCGGCAGTCAGGATGTGTTTTCCAGGTGTTTACAGGCAGGWCTCCCCAAAACACTGATTTATGTTCCCACACAGTCRTTGTGAGCYTGYTTTAAAGCGTATTTTAGAGCTCTGCTCCCCCAGTATATCACATTTTGTGTGGAATGCAATAATTCTGTGTTTCTCAATAAGCAGGAGTTTGGGTCAGGAGAGGCTTTGAAGCTGTAGTAAATGCGATGTCCCATTTCTGTTTCTAGTTCAGTGGGGTTGATGAATGCAGCGCCTGGAAACCTGAGCGAGCTCATCCAATTCAGATGTTAACTTTGCATGAGGGAAGCAGCTGCTGGGGAGCTGTGACAGGAATAAAATTGTCCCAGTGTKCTGCTTATCCCACTTGTAGTGAATCTCTAAGTGAGAGGAGAGAGTGTTTTGCTTTATTCTTTCATGTTTTGGGGAAATGCTGATTGGAATGGGAAGGAAAAACATCCCTTGTGTAGAAATTAATATTCAAGGTGAATAATTCAAATGCATAAGGAATTGCTTGTAATGGCTTAGATTTTAAAAGTCGTTCGAAATGCTGTGCCTTTGGGGTGAGAGAAGGAGGGAAAATCAGGGAAAGCTCAGAGGAACTCCAGGTGCTGAGTGTGCACAGGAAGAGCTGCTGGGGTTGTGGGAGCAGCTCAGAGGCTCCTCTGGCTCCTTGCACTCGATTCTTGTGCAGTGCTTTGCTTCAGGAATGGRATTTTTAGCCTTGGTTTCATGTGGCTGAACAGAGATGGTGTCCTCAGAATGTTGTCCCWCAGAAAGGAAAGAGAAATAATGCAAAGGCTTTGGAAATCTGAGCAGAAGGTGGCACTTGCACGTGGATTGGGGCTCTTTCTCTTTTTTTATTTAAATAATTTTTCCTCTCTGCTCCCCATAATTCCAAGAGCTCACATACAATAACTTCTCACAGAACTACAGTTGTCTGAATTCTTGTAATTACTGCAGTTATTTACTCAGCTTATCTTAATTGTCCCCATCAGCTTACACAGAGCCAGTAAAAGCAGTTATCAGGAGGCAGCATCGTGGGTTTATAGGCAAAGCAGCCGGGCTGAGCAAACAGCAGGATTGGGATGCTTAACTCTTKGTTTTGTTTGCTTTTTAAATTAATCCTGATCCTCCCCTCCTTGTTCCCTCTCCAGCCTCAGAGTGTGAGTGAACAGCAGCTGTCACTGAGACACGTGGGGAAGTTGAGAGCTGGGAAATTGAGGAGTTTTGGAGCAGGTGGAGTGAGGAAGGGAATKTTGTCATTTGTCCTGCAGGGTAACTCTGGTGAACAGAGTTCACTGCCTGTGTGAATCTGAAAGAGATTAAATGAAGTGGTAGAAAAACAGAATAGAGTTAGAAATGTAAAATCCTGTGCTGCACTGAAAAATGGGGATGTCTCTCTGAATGTTGATTTTTGCTCTTTARAAGTATTAAAGAATCCTTGAAAAGAACTTTAATATAATTTCAAATAACTGCTTTCAGCAGCTCTTCAAACCCACCCCAGTCATGGCAGGAATTGTGGGATCTCTCGTTGTTTCCACAGCTTATATTCCAAATTTTGCCTTTCCCCTTGTCAAACAACGGCAACAGTTTAAAACTGCTAAAGTGATCTCACATCTTTTACCTTTGSCAGTATGTATACATTAAACCCTTAATTGTTAATTAAAGTATTCATTGCAGCTTGTCATCAGTTCAGCAATTAAAATTTACTTGTTTCTGCTTGTTCCTAAGTCTTCCCAGTCCTCATCTTTGATYTGGTTAAAATCTGGTTAAATTCTGGTTAAAWTCTGGTTAAAATCCTTCAGCTTTATTGCTGATACTGCTTGTTTTGGCCCTGCTGGTCCCAGGTTCGTAGCTGGGGAAGTTTCAAGATGAATTCCACACATCCCTGCTGTAACTTGTGCTGTCACATCAGCTGATGGCTGCTGTCTCATGGATTCCCTGACAATAGTCCTGAAATACTCCATGTTCCTTCAGAGCCAGGGTTTTTTTAGCTCGGGATGTAAATTGCCCTTTATCCCAGGCGCTCTGTGGGCTGGCAGCCAAGTGGGTGCCTGGAAGCGGGGAGGTGTCTCATCTCTAAGTGGCCACGGTGGCACAGGACAGGATTTCTGGCTGCCACAACCCCTAAAAAACTCCTGCTCCTCTCTGCCACCCAAATCCTGACAGAGCTGAGTTCTAAGCACTGGATTTTTGACAGCCAAATAAACTRGAAAGGAAAACAGTTCAGCACTACCTCCAGGAATGCGGCCTTTTTTAGGCTTTTCCTAAAAATCCATAATGATTCTTCCTGCTAATTTATTCTGGCACTTTTTTTTCCAAGCTTCCTATACAGGGTAAAGCATTTTCTTGTGGAGCTGCCCTGGAGCTCYGGAACAAAGCAGCAGAGCTGCCTTTTATGACTTGAACTCCAGTGCAGTGTCATTTAGCTGTGTTTTCCTGTGTCAGCCCGGGTTGCACATGAAATTTGGGTCCSTGGGTGAGGTTTTCCCTCCCTGCTGGCTGCAGGGGCTGCTCTGGCTGTATTTTGGTGTTTGCAGCTGAATTCCCAGAGCTGGCTCACGCTGTCTCTTGTCGCAATCGCCAATTGTCTGCCCTGCCTGGGCTGCCACAGTCGCTGGGAGGATTTTTCCCTTTTGTCTCCCTTTCCTCACCGTGCCCCAGCTCAGGGATGGATGCTGTGCCGTGACAAGACAGGAATCAGGAGTCAGGGAGCTTTCCTGGGATTCTTCACATTTCTTTTCCTTTTCAAATCTGTAGCTGGCAAGTGTTTCACATGACACTTTCCAGCAYGYATACCAGTGCCAGCAGTGATGTTTTCTGCCTTTCAGACTTGCTGTGCTCGCTCTCTACCACTTCTTCTGCCCACAAATAATCATCTTAGACATCTATTTGTGTGTTTATTTATGTAAAGCTGTTGTATTTGCAAATCTCCACTCAGCATCCCCAGTGTTGTGGCTGCTGGGTAACCTCGAGATGGAAGGGGGGTTGTTATTTTTTTGGTAATTTCATCCAAATGCTCCAATTCACCTTTTTAAAGCTCACCTGTGCCCTTGGCACTGTGCCAGCCTTGGGATGGCTCCCATTCCATTGTCTTGGATGAGCCAGGCTGCCAAATGGAACATGCCAGCAGTTGTGCCAAGATTCCCTTCCCAACCTTTGGRCCCTGCTGGTAACASTGGGATAAAATGGAAGCTTAATCAYCCCCCAGTTTGGGTTTGAGGTGCAGAATTGAGTCTTTTTTAGGGTTTTTTTTGCAGTATTTTTACCTTACAACCAGCGCAGGATCTGCTGCTGCGGGGCAGTAAAAGGAGAACAAAGAACAAGAGAGGAAAAAAAAAAAAAGGGGGGAAAAAAAAAAGGAAATGGCATCTGGCACTTGCAGGGGGAGGAAGAATAAGGAGGAAAATTATTTGTTTGCAATTTGAAAGGGGGAGCAGAGCCACTGTTGGGTTATGAATAAATCTTTCTCTTTGGTGTACATTAGCCATCAATTGACCTTTCAGAGCAATTGCAGCTCTGTAATCACTGCTCCTCCCTGCTCCRTGCCCTGCTCCTCACATGGATGTGTCCATCCTTCCTTTTCCTTTATTACCCTCCAGGATTAGATGCCATATGCTGGTTTCTAGGGACAGAAAAAACCTTAAACCTCTGCCAGGGCACTGAGGGCAAGGCTTTTTGACCTGTGTCAGGAAATTGGATAACCCAGTTTTCAGGTATTTATCTGCAAAAATCTTCCCCTGTATTGGGATCCACCTCAGAATTCCAATTGGGCTCGTGGAAGCTTCTCCAACAAAAATGTTTTCCAGAGGCTGGAAAACCTTTGAGGCTGTGAGGGCACAGCAGTGATGGGAACTGCAGAGATGTGGGGATGTGCCAGGGAGAAGGGAAGGAATCAAGGGATCCCAGAGAAGGATGAATGGCAGGGGAAGGTCCTTAAATCTCTGCCAGGGCACTGAGGGCAGGGCTTTTTGACATGTGTCAGGAAATTGGATAACTCAGATTTCAGGTATTTATATCTGCAAGAATCTTCCCCTGTGTTGGGATCCACCTCAGAATTCCAATTGGGCTCGTGGAATATATTT